CATAAAAGGAATATGTCCATAGAAGCCTGTTTGCGGTGTTCTGTACTTGGATGCTCAGACTATGGGATGCAAGGGTGCTCGAGTCATTACTATCGAACTTGGCTGGAACTTGAGTGGCGAGGTACGAAGAGACGGAGTTTCTTCATGTTAATGATTTCATTAAGTTGGATGCTATATGGTCGGAACCAGGTCAGTAATGGTTATTTCTTTGATTTGAAAATTTTGTCAATACACCCAAGGGTGTGCCATACAACACAAAAGCAGAAACTGAAAGGCGATGGTCTTCCAAATATAAAAAAAGTGTACACTAGTCTATGAAAAATTGAGGGTAAAGCCAGAGTTGCAAGTGATACACGCCTTACTAGAAGAAAGGGGGTAACTGCGGGAGAAAGAGGGACGGAAACAAGAAGCTCGCATAAAGGAGCATTTGCGGAATAATGCTGGGACCTTTCTTATGATATATGAAGAGGAAAGCTGTTTTCCTTCCTCTGTGAAAAAGGCTTCTTCATGTTATACTGGCCCAATATGCCTGGGGAGGCAACACTAACTAGGGCCTGCTGACAATAAAGCTCGATACGAAAGAAATTCGATTTGGATCCACAGGCGAGCAGACGAAAGGAGGCTTCAGGCGGAAGGGTTATCGTCTCACAGGGACCTCAAACAGCCAGCACACATAAAATTAAGGCCTCAGAATCATCAAAAGCATGCAACATACTTCTTACCTCAGAGAAAGAGAAGGAAAAGCAGTGAAGCAGAGGTGAAGTACTGAAATGAACAAATACTGGTGAATCGTTCATTAAAATTTCGATTGTCGAGGGTGATAGAGAGACATCGATTTTATTTATTTATTTATTTTGATTTTGTTGACTGTCATAGCAAATTGTAGCAGTATGAAGTCATTTTGTTTCGTTCCCTGAACTTCACATCAGCGGATACTGTTAAGGTCTCGCAGTGCTGCTCTTGTAGTGATTGTTTTGATTTTCCGTGAAATACATTGAACCATGGTGGAGATAATGCTAGAAAGGTTTAGCTGGGTACTTCAAAAAACTCATATGTCCAAAGCATCCGTGCCCTTTTGATGAGCCTTGTCAGAGGCTTTAAATGGCCTATGCCCAATGAAATAATTGGAGCTGGCTTAAAGTAGCAATATTGAACAACCTTCTAGGCCCGTTAGGCTGCATAGCCTTATTGGAGACCTGAGAGGGAGACTCTTCTTCATTCCTACTTCTTATGCTGTGTTCACCATCTACAACTTAGAAATTCATACCCACTTGTCGAGTACTTGGCAGACGTGCTCTATTGAATAGCATATATTCAATAGGTCGTGTAACAGTTTCAACGTCCACAGCACCCCTACTAGAAGACGATAGCATGGCTCATTCCAGAGGAGTTGAATCGATGAGCTCTACACAATCTTTATTTTCTTTTTCCCCACTCGTAATGTTGTTTGTGTTGGCACAAACTCGTACTCTCACTACGAGCCTTATACAATTTTAACAAAAAAAAAAATTCTCGAAGAAAAATGTTAGGCAATTTTTTTCGAAGCAATTTATTATTTTATTTATCATCAGCATATTTTGAAACTGAGATCTGTCGTTAAAGTAATTAGCACATTATGAACACTGTTGTTGCACCCGCAGCGAATGCGAGGCAAGAGAACATCTCGTCCCCTGAATATGGGTAGAGTCGTTTGTCCAATTCCAACGATAACCCGGGTTTCTTTTTATTCGGGTGGCCCTGGAATTGACACATAGTTTCCAGACGTGCTCTTTGCATCCAGGACTGATAGTGCTATGGGATGTCTATTCGCGTCTGACATGATCCCACAAGCAAGTAAGTGTGTCTGGGGAAACCTGTTTGAAGAGTTCTGCATTCGTGACGGTAACAGAGTAGGGAACAAAGGGTTTGAGTCATCGTTATTGAACTTGACATTGAATGCCAAAAGAGAAAGGAATGGAATTTTGCTTGTGTTTGATGGCTCAGCAAGTTTAATGAATGTCTTCGTTTGTAAGTCATTGATCGAACTTACTGTTGTATAGAATGGCAGAAAGACCTTGATCTCTTTGGCTGTTATAGCTATTTGTTTCCCTTGATACTTCGATCAGCAGTGGGTCAAGTCGCAATGTTTCTGAAGTTATTATTGAGCTTAACACATTGATGGGCCACGTCACAATGGCCTACCGCATGCTGCAAAGCCAGTACCTTTCAATCATCCCAAAAAGTCGAATGAAGCGAATGTCAGTGTTGAAGTTTGATTCTGCAGGCCTCCGAGTCCTCCGTTAGTTCATCCAGGTAAGCCCACACACACATTTTAAGAAAAGAAGGCATAGGCTCTAACCAGCCCCGTCTGAACGGCCGTGTGCTCCATGAAATAATGGGAGCTGACTCAAGTTAGTGATACTAATAAATATCGTCCTTGTAGGCAGCCGTTGGGCTTCATAGCCATTTTAAGGACTTGGGAAGTAGATTCTTCTTCATTCCTTTTCCTTATGCTCTTCCGCTATTTGACACTTGGAAACTCATTTCCATTTATCAAACCCCAAGCAGACGCGCTCATTTCAACAGCGCGAGATCGAACAGGGAAGCAGGTCCAATGTCATCACCACTCCGACTTGAACCGATGAGCTCTACACTATCGTTGTTCATTTTTTCTCAGCCTAAAATGCTTATTATTAAGCACAATTTCGTACTTTTACTACGAACCTCGCCTATTTAATTTTTGTAAGATGAAATTTCTCGAAGAAACTTATTGGGAGTTTTTCTTCTGTTCAAGCAGTTCATGATAATTCATTATCAGGATTCTTCGAGTTGAAATCTATCATGAAGATAATTACAGCATGCTGAACACTAATAGTCCACCCGCTATTGATGCGGGACGAGATAATAATACGTTCGCTCGAAACGGTAGAATTTGGTTGTCCGTCAGTTCCAACGAAGGCTCGGGTTTCCTTCAATTCGGGTAAGCTTGGAATTGGCACAGTAGTTTCCAAACGTACTTACTGCATCCAGGACTGATAGTGCCAAAGGGTGTCTGCGGCGTTTGGGACACCGTCATTCAAAAAGGTTATGGGTCCAGAGAGGTCTGTCCGGGGAGTTCTGCACTCTTGATATTCAGAGTGTGGGAAACAAAGAACTAAAGTTTTGGCTATCAAACAGTCATTGAAAGGCAAGCAAAAGAGAAAAGGGATTTCGTTTGTCAAATGACCCAGTAACTTATGTACGAAAAGGTTGGAATGTAGCAATAATGCTGGTTTGACTCAGTATTGGGTCGAATCCCTTAAAGCTCACCTGTATGGAACCCAATTGTAAGAAAAGAGTTCTTGAAGAAAATCAGTGTATATTATTCTTTTGTTCAAGCAATTCATCAAACTTATTATCAGCATGTTTCAAAGCTGAAATCTACTGTGGAGGTAGTTATGCATGATGAACACTGATATTTTACCCGCAGTAAATGCGGGACGCAGCAATAAGTCGTTCGCGAAGCATTTAGTCAAGAAGGTAGCTCTTGGCCCAGTTCCAACGGTAGCCCGCGTTTCGTTAAATTCGGGTGAGCTTGGAAGTGACACATAATTTCCAAACGTAACGAAGCATCCAGGACTTGAGTGCCAAAGGGTGCCGTCCCGTTTGGGACACATTTTTGCAAAGAGGGAATACATAGGGGTGCCTAATCAAGGATTTCTGTATTTGTAATGATCAGCTATAAAAAATTATACAGAGGGGTGCGGAATGGGAAAGGACTGTCGAGCTCGACGCNACATTTTTGCAAAGAGGGAATACATAGGGGTGCCTAATCAAGGATTTCTGTATTTGTAATGATCAGCTATAAAAAATGATACAGAGGGGTGCGGAATGGGAAAGGACTGTTGAGCTCGACGCTATGTGGTAAGAAAGGAAGGAAAGAGGTTATGTCCACTTCTAACAGCTGGTCACCTCTGATCGAGCACTCGATCGTGTAGAAAAGCCCTGTCATTGCTGACTGCAACAACAGACCGCTGCAGTAGGAGCGATTCCTTCGATGCTCGGAGCTTTGGAAAAAAAACGGGGGCTACGAAGAATTACCGCAATCAGCAGGCTAGTGCCCATCTATCATCCCGGACAGTCGAATGTTCGATCACCTGGTAAGAGAATGTCATGGCTGGGATTTGATCCCGCAGGCCTCCAATACATCTACTAATCTCTCAGTGCAAGCAAACGATTCTGAAAAAGGCAACGTCGTTCATTACCGCTTTTGGGATGCGCCCCGTCTTCGACCTCCAACCTGAAAAATAGCTGGGTTTTGAATGCGCATGTGAACTATACAGTCACCTTCGGTGGGCAGCTGATGCACAAGTCGAAGCTCTCATTCCCACACCTGTGTCTAGTACCAACTAGCGGCCCCTGGAGAGCAGAAGCCTTGCTAGGACTAGGCGCATAGTGAGCCAGGGCTCGATCCAAGTAACCATGCATGGGATGGTGCGTCCCGTTGATCGAACTCTGGTTCGATACCCGTCCCACTTGCCATTCTACCACTTTCGCCCAAGCCATCTAGGCGAATCCACCTAGACCTACACTTTAAAGAGTCTGTATGATAGAAAGTAGCCTTTATTACACTATGTACTACACCTATACACAACCAACAATTTAAAAATCTACATCGACTGGAGTATCTGATCTGGCTACACACTGCACATTGCCTTGAAAAGCTGTACTTCAAGCTCATTAGAATAACCATTTCGGTTATGATTACTAGTAAAACTTTTGTAAAATTAACTTTTAGACAAGAAATTTCAAAGTGATGAGATTAATGTTTTGGTCAGAAACGATTTCTAGGAATTCCATAAGATTACCCGGCTATGGGAAATGTACAAAACCTGTGTGAGAGATATAACAAAAACGAAATCATATCTAGTAATCTACAATATATATGTCTAAGTAAGTAGTAATACTGATTAAAGAGTAAACAATAATAATACTTTAGAAATCGAGAATTGACTAGAAGAAATCAGAAAAAGCCAACAGAATTAAGCATAAGCCTTGACGGCTTGATCAGCCATAACCACAATGAACCGATCGAGCCAGGTGACTGAATGCGGTGCGAATGAGCTACCTTCAAGGAAGCCCAAATGACCGCCATGTCGGGTCGAAATGAATGCCATGTCTTCGGAGTGGGAAGCGAGTTCCTGAAAAGTAGAAGCCTTCGATATATACATCAACGAATTCATCTAGGAAGTCATTCCACTGGGTGTGTGTCAAGTCGTGCGTCCGAGAGTGCGCGCGGCAAATTGCGCGGCGGAGTTCGTGGAGAATTTGGACGACTCCGGCGCCTATAATTGGGGCCCAAATCTGAAGTAAGGTAG